AAGCTCCACCCCAAAATGGCCTCCAAAAGTATCAATATAAACACAGCCTTGTTTCTCACCATTTTATTATCCAGAACGCCAAAAGGTACGGGAATACGGGAGTCCTGAGCGTACAGAGCACTGTTGAAGACGTGGACGTGAGCCTGCTGCTGTATTTTATTGGGAGAGAACAAACTAAACTGTATCCGGTCACTAGAGGCAAAGAAATGAAGATATAGCAAGGGCAGTGATGAAATGGGGTCATTACATGATCTTTGTCGTGTCAGATTCACGACTAATGACTTGCTTCTTCATTTTTGATCAGCTTCTTCACCAACAGTTACAGCCTACAGGAAGAAAGCACGTGGGTAGGCGTGGTGCTCTGTTGTGCAATTAATATCTATGATTAATTGCAAGGTTTGCAAGAGTTAGATGATTGCACTGTTTTAAACCGGTATGCGACTACCAATTCCTCATTGCAGTAGCCTGATCTGGTGACTCAACGAGAGAGTGTCATATTTTAAAGTCCTTTTATTAAGTATTTTTTACTACAAAGCTATGGCAGCACAACAAGAACCAGTAGCAACTTTTAAAGTTAGTGATTATGATATCTAAACTAATTAATGTCTTCCCTAATATTTTTAGCTTGTTTTGATTGGTGATGGATGTACAGGAAAAACGGCATTTATCACACGTTTCTTGACAGGAAAATTTGAAAAGAATTATAGAGGTCAGTTTAAATACAAATATATATATATCTAGTTTTACATTTTAAAATGCTGATTAATGTGTATGTACATGTACATTGCTAATCCAATGGTGTAATGGGTCTTTATTATGTTTATATATGGGACTGATGAATGATGATACATATTCGTTTTAAACTGAAGTACTATAGTGCATGCACGGATAGCTTGTATTAACTTAGTTTTTCTTTTGTAGCCACACTTGGCGTAGAAATACATCAACTCGTCTTTCAGACAAACAAAGGCCCAATCCAGTTCAATGTCTGGGACACGGCAGGTCTGGAAAAATTCGGTGGTCTAAGAGATGGCTACTATATCCTGGAACAACGTGCCATGGCTGGCATAATCATGTTTGATGTGACATCTAGAGCTACGTATAAGAATGTGCCAAATTGGCATCGGGATTTAATCAGAGTCTGTGAGGACATACCCATTGTCCTTTGTGGGAATAAAGTTGATATCGAGGATCGTAAAGTCAAGGCCAAAACTGTTACTTGGCATCGAAAGAAGAATAATCTTGAAGTAAAGAGAGATCTATCATTTGAGTCCTGTGTATTCAATCTTTTAGCTTTAAACTTTCTCACTCAAAAAAACAAATCAATTTTCATTCTTTCTTTTGTAGTACTGCGATATCAGTGTTAAATGTAATCACAACTTAGAAAAGCCTTTCCTCTTGTTGGCAAGAAAACTAGCCAATGATCCCAATTTGGAGTTTGTGGAAATGCCTGCCTTTGAGCCGCCCGAAGTCCAGATGGACCCAACTTTAGCTGCCAAATACGAGGCAGAGCTGAAGCAACGGGAAGAAGCAGCATGTTCTGATAATGATGATGACAGTGATGATTAGTACTTTAAGTAGCCACAAACCTTTTTATTTGTTGTTCAGTTGTGCTCTTGCCTGCAGTAATTTTAGAGCCCTACTCAAATTACACACTTCTTTGTGTGTATGCATGCTTTTTTACTAGTACTTATTCCATGTTTATCCTATTTATTTTTGATGTTTTGATTGATGTGGTTGTGGTTACTCCACTATCTATGAAAACAAATGCAATACGTATTCCATATACAAGTGCACACTTTCACTCAACTTGGATCAAAGTTAGACTAGCTTTGATCAAGTTACACTTGCATGTTCCATGAACTATATGATGCATAATTACTGTTGCTTGCTAGAGACAGAGAATTGAATATAATTATAGCAAGGCCATTGATTAAATGAGGTCAATACATGTTCAGATGGCTTGTTTATTTATTTACAAAGCTACAGGAACAAAGCACGTGAGTAAACGTGGGAAAACATTAATAATTTAATAGTCAACTAACTTAGATTACAAATACTTAACTAACTAGAGAAAGGTGTGGTCTTCCACGTGGGCGTGGTGTGCGCTCTAATTAGAAAGTCATTAAAAGGGAGGGAATTTTCAGGGGAAATCAGCCATCATGGTGTCCACAAACCAAGATACAGACGGCCATCCATACAAGCACAAGTACAGAGAATTAAAGAGGAGGCTCAAATATCTCGTCTACGTAAGACTAAGTCATTTTTGTGTGCTTACTATTGCTATTCTCGTGACAATAGTGAACATTGTTATATGGCTTTTAATTTTAATTTTAAATTAGGAGAATGAATGTTTTGAGGCCGACATCAGAGATGCTAGGGCTAAACTCCTGCAAATCAGTCGAGAGAAAAGGTAATGCACACAACTGTTAGCATAAGAAGTTGTATGTACAAAACTTATGTTAATCTTTAATTATTAATTTTATTTAGTTTTTTATTGGATCACTTGATGTCACACGAAACCGTTACAATATCAGGTAATTGAATCATGTTTCTATTATTATTTATTCTCTCTCTCTCTCCCCCTCTCTATCTCTCTCTCTTTATCTCTCTCCCTCTCCTCTTAAAGATGACAGTGATATAGAAAGTACTGATTATTCCAGTGATGACGAGAGTATCAAACTCCCTCCTTCATCGCATGTAAGCATTTAAAAAATTAAAATCCAGCTCAGATATTTCAATTTTTAATTTCTATACAAGCAGTAGTTTCTGATTGGCAACAAGGATGCTGTGGTTTGACATGTACTTGTACATGTGCAATGTAGCCTTGTCCAAGTTGTGTCCCATTAAATTCCTTCTCTGTCATTGTGTTCTCATGTTTCATGATGAATTACAATGAAATTATTTGGATCACACTTTTTTATGTACATGTGCAATTAGTAAAATTTTAAAACTTCATAATACCACCCACTATGCCTTAATAATAATAATAATAATAATAATAATAATAATAATAATACTAATATTTTTTAATTATTTTTTATGTTTATTAGAATTCATCTGGATTACCTCTCACCAACACCAAATCACTTCGTTCCACTGCAGCCGCTAGTGATAGTGCCCCGCCCACTAAACAAACGACTAGAATGAGAGGGACGGCTCGTCGAGGGACCCAGAGGGGCGGAGCCACAACCCGCCAGACCTCGTCTGCCAGTAAAACCAGCAAAACTACAAAGATGACTGCAAAAACTGCAACTAACCCGAGCAAACCTCCTCCCTCACTATCGTTAGTAGTGTCCCTACCAAGACCACCCCCGGTTCCGGCTCTTCAACCGGTTGGGAAGCGCCCAGGGACTCAAATACAGCCTGCCGGACGGAAAAAGATGAAACTAAGCAGTCCGGTTGAGAGTACAAGCTCGTCTAGTTCTAGTGATAGTGATGATAGCGATTCGTCTGAGAGCTCCAGCGTGGACTCGAAACGTTCCTCTCTACCTCCCCCTCCTCCTCTTATACTGAGTAGCTCTCCTGCGACGCCAAGTCCTACTGTACTGACGCCCAAACCAGTTTTACAATCCCCTCCCGTTAAAATGATGACTCCTGGTGCATTGACAACGCTAGCTTTGGTCCCTTCAAGCAATCTCTCACTCCTCTCTCCCTCTCCTTCCTCTACTTCAATGTCCGCCGGGTCTAATACCCTCCTCTCTCTTCCTTCTTCCTCTTCTTCTAAAGTCTTAGTTACCGTAAGAGACAAGAGAGACATGGCCACTGCTTTTCATACTGTCAAGAGCTCACTGAGTGCTAATGGCAGCCAGTCACAGAACAGGTAGTACAATGAAGCTCTGATGAAGCAACTGCACAGTAACTCTCTTCCTTTTCTCTCCCTCCCTCTCTCTTTCATTTTATAATTTATAATAACAATTATAATAAAAATGAATACATTGCGTTCAATAATATTTCCATTTAAATTCTGTCGGTATGAGCTCTTTTCTTTTCACCGACGGTGACTGTAGCACTTCATAAATAGTATCATAGCTAAGTTCACTTTTAGCATCATTTAACCAATGTTCTAAAGTACGTGACAGTCGGTCCACATCTTGCTGATTCTCATTCCTTATTGATCTTAGTTTAGATGAAGGCACGTCAAGCTGTATGCCAATCTGATACCAGCTATCTGCACCATCACCCAAAAGCTGCATTAAATACTTTAAATTAAAATGAGGAGGAGTAGGAACAAATTTACTGGAAGTTGAAGATGCTGTTGAGGACATTCTCCTATAGAAATGACATGAAATACAATAATAGCCATTAGTCATAGACACAGTTTGCAAGTCTTATATTACTGCGATGATTTTTTACCTTAATGGTTGTCCTGATGAAGGTGAAAAACTTGAATCTGAAATCAATGAGTCTTGTCTCATGGGTAGCTGTATAAATAACAAGATGCACATGTCATTATGTCATTAAGGGATCATTTGTTTAGATTACTAACATTTGATGGTCTTTCCATTTCTCTCATATGACTTCTCAATGTGTCCAATTCTTTTTAATTATAGAAGTTGCTTATTTTATTGATTCCTTACCTTCAACTAATTTACAATTATTTTGTGCTTGCTCCTCATTCTCTGAATTCAACTTCTTTTTTTCTAAATGCAAAAGTTGGTTTCTTTCACTAAGTTTGTCCCTTTCTACTATACTTATTGTATACTCTACAATAACAATACAGTAATGCAAGTATCTTATCATTTTGGCTTACTTTCTTTAATGACCAAGAGCTCGGTCTTCAGTTCATTATTAGCAACACGCAAAACCTCCAATTCCTCCTCATTCTCCTTCAAGCTCGTTTTTGTTTCCCTTAGCTCATTTTCTGTTTTTCTTAATTTCTCTTTCAACTGGTACAATTCCTCATTCTTCTTTGCTAATTCTTCTCTATCTTTCTCCATCCTTTCTAATTTATGACTAATGAGCTCTGTATTTTCTGTAATATCATAAAACACCAAACAAAATATACAGTAAGTTTTCTGACTTTCCACAACTTTCAGCTGTTCGCCCACCCCACTGGCTTTTACTGAAACTTCCTTATATCTCTTGCTTTCTTCTTCAGCCTTTTCTATCAGAGAAATTTGACTACTGTTGCTACTGGCCATATTCTCTGAGCCATTCCCTCCCTAGTATAGTCGATTGGTCGACCACGCCCATTTCAAAATGGCGGATGCTACACCCTCTTCTACTGGAGATTTCTCTTTTCCTCCTTGCTTTCTGACGCCCACGAAAGCTCTAGTGATACTAACTGGTCTAGACACACGAAATAACGCGGTCCACAGTGCCATATGGCATTTATTCACTTCAGGAAGGTCGGGGGAAGCCCTCAAACCTGTCATCTATAAGGCAGTGACTGCTGATCACATTTACCCCAGGGACCATTCTGTGAGACTTGAAATTATATAATGGGAGGGTACTGTACAAGGCAATTAATTAGCGAAAGTAATATTTGGCGAATTGTCTCTGGAAAGTACATGTACATGTTGTTGGGATTGGTCATTTTGTGCAGTAAAATTGCAGTTTTTATATTAACCATTTCTTCATGGAACCACCAATTGCTTCTTGCCAATACATTATCTTGTACAATAATTCAATTAACTATATTGTATGAATATGTCTGCTATTTTAAGTCCTGTGGGTTCCGCTTGGGTATTCTAATTTAGTGATACTCATTATAATTATGTTTATTAGTTGCAGCAATCAAGTGATCATGAAAGTAATAGCGGTAGTGCTCCTCCTTCTCCAGCCCCGCCCCCTTCCCCTCCCCCTGGTGGGATACTCCCATGTGACTGGATAGAGAAGCATAGTCTTGAGATACCCTCTGTGGTCGTGTTCTTCTTTGATTTGGATTGGAATCACCCGCAGTGGGCGGAGAAAGTGACCGAATGTGCGTCAAAAGTCCAAGTCATCAAGTAATCATGAGAAAGAGGAGAGAGAGAGGAGAGAGAGAGAGGAGGGGGAAGAAGAGAGAGAGGGGGGAAGGGAAGAAAGGAGAGAGGGAGAGTGCTAGAGAGAAGGAGAGAGAAAGGAAAGGGAATAAGTACATGTAGCTGACACTAATAAGTACACCTGTACATCTACATGTATACATGTACATGTATGAATAATCGATGGCATATTTATCATAATGTACATGTATTTATTTAGGAGTTCACTGGATTTCTTATCAACAGAGTTCTGTGTTGCACTAATACAATCAGTGAGACCACTGCCAAGTGGTAAGAAGATGAAGAAATAATGGATTGTATTAATTCTTGTTGTTTTGTCTTAAAGGTTCTGACCCAGCAATATCTGAGCAAGCAACAGAAATATGTCAAGCCTTGGGTCTTCAGAATACTAACTTGTTTGTGATGCCTTACGTTGATAGACCTGAAGGATATGTAACTAGGTACATCTTCATCTCCTCGTCATTCTTTCTCCCTTTCTTTTCTCTTTTTCTCCTCCTCTCTCTCTCTCTCTCTCTCTCTTTCTCTCTCTCTCTTTCTCTCTCTCTCTCTCTCTTCTCTCTCTCTCTTTTTCTCTCTCTCTCTCTTTCTCTCTTTCTCTCTCTTTCTCTCTCTCTCTTTTTCTCTCTCTCTCTCTTTCTCTCTCTCCTCTCTCCTATAGTCTTATCTCTCTTTTCATTATTTGCTTCATTGTTCATTTCCAGTTTTTTTTGATAATTTTAGCACCATCAGTATCAGCCATTGTTTGTTTCTAGTCACCTACCCTTTACCAATAATTTTAGACCACACCTCTCTTTCTCCCCTAGATTGGAAGCTTCATTTTACGAGTTTGCTCTACGATACTATGGCAACTACATCAAGAAGATGCGTGTTTCCAAGGTAACAAAACTACATACTACTATAATAATTATTATTACTATTATTTATTATTATCATTATTTATTTATTTTTAATAGGATTTACAGGTAGTTAGCCACACCCAGCAGCAGTTGGTATCAATTGGGAAGCAGTTTAAGATAGCATACCTCACTGAGATGAAACAAGAACATAAAGAAGCCTTGAGGTATGTCAGGGAACATATTCACCAAATTTAATTGCCTCAAAAAATTTCCTGCTATACGATATTCATTCACACCTGGACTTACATTGTATGCCATTATTGGGCTGTACTAGGCTAGCTTACATTTTTATTATGATGCTTAGAAAGTTTAATTTGATTCCTATGATTAATTTTTGAGTTACATGTGCACATACTTCCATTCCTATACTTCCATTCCTATACTTCCATTCCCATGCAGGCTCTACTCCAGTTGCTACAAGTACCTCATTGAGTGCATGACACTGAGTGAGGACAGGATCATGGAATTCAAAGTAGTGGCTGGTTTACTAAACTACAAGGTTAATGATTAAAGCTGTATAGAAGTATTGAAAATTATTGCTTCCCAACCTGTAATGCATTGATAATGATATGTCACCTCTGATTGTTAAGAAATGATATACTGTAAATAAGGAAATTTATGCAATAGAAATTTTTTTGTGTTGAAAAATTGTACTGTGATTTTATTTGTCTCGTTCTCTTCCTCCAGATTTGTTATCTTATGTTTGATTACGATGACCCGAGGCAAGCTCTGGCTCAATTTCAGAATCACCTTGATCATTTCAAATCAGAGAATGGACTTGAATCACTTGTGTTCCAGCATAAAGAGTGGATAGGCAATCAGTGAGACAGAGAGAGAGAGAGAGAAAAAAGATAGAGGAGGGTACATGTACATGTACTGTGTATAGAATATTAGTCAATATAGTCACAATTCTATGATAGTAGTAGGACCTGAAATTAGTACAGTACTGTAATACATACTATGTGGTAATTATTATTGATTATTATTATTATCAAGGTTTTCTGCTTTTGCGGATTTATTTGCTGAAGCAGTTCGTAAGCAGCTCAGGCCAACACAAGTAAGTACTGCATGGTCACCAACCTTTTTGTTTTAGTATAAAATCATGTATATCATTTACAGTATTGTAGAGGGTGTTTATTTAATTTAAATCATATTGTTTTCTTATTATTCCAGACGGCACATCCAGGTATCTATTACTATGAAGCCATACAGTGTCTCTTTGAAAGACGAAAGCTTCAAAAACTTTATAAGGTATATGTGCATCATGTACACTCTTTTTCAAGCCACACCCTCTAGACTTCATACAACTTGTTGCCTAAGCCTCTCCCTCCATTGACCAGTGTTGAGTACATCGGACAAAGACCATGGAGACTGGGACTTAGTGGTAAGGGGCGTGGCATATAAGGGGTGTGACATACATATGAAGGTGTGACATATAAGGGGTGTAACATATGAGGGGTGTGACATAAGGGGTGTGACATATGAGGGGTGTGACATATAAGGGGTGTAACATATGAGGGGTGTGACATATAAGGGGTGTGACATATAAGGGGTGTGACATACATGTATGGTTTAATTATTATAGATAATCAACCATCAATGAGTGAACTGCGTGACAAGTCAATCACTATATTACAAGCAAGGGAGTATTCCAGGGATTTTACTGTAAGTTTGTAAATCTCAGTATATCTCAGTATACTTTTGTATATGTCAGTACATGTTTGTACATTCCAGTATATTTTTGTTTATTTCAGTATATTTTTGTAGTATCAGATATGCCTCCTAATAAACAAAGCTCTGGATCATTTCAAGCAATTGCAGCATCAAACAAACAACATGATCAGTCACTTAAGTGGGTGGAGCTTATCCTTAATAACTATTAATAACTACCCCCTCCACCCTAGCTGTCTTACTGGCTGAAGAATATCATCTATCAAAAGATTACGAGAAATCACTGATGTTAGCTCTAACTAAATAAATAAATAATATTATATAATTATTAATAGTTTGTTGGAGAGAATAATATATGTGTATCGCGATCACAAATGGTGGACCATCTTTTCCAGTTTATTGCAAAAGATGCTTGAGTGAGTGTTACTAAAAATAGATTTTTGACGTGTGTGTGTGTGTGTGTGTGTCTATTTTTAGATGCTTGAGTGAGTGTTACTATAAATAGATTTTTTGATGTGTGTCTATTTTTAGATGCTCGTACATGTTGGGAGATGTTAAGTGCTATGTATGTACCGCCATGGAATCAATCAGTAGATGTATCCTAACGAGTGGGCGGAGTGAGAATGAGTGGGCGGGGTGAGAATGAGTGGGTGGACTGAGATTGAGTGCGTTGGGTAAGAAGAATTTTTTTAGTTTTTTCTTAACTTCATTTGTCGTCAGTCACTCCTATTGATAAAGAAAGGAAATTGTCAATTCAAAATAACTTAAACTTAATATTAAAAGTAAAAATGGCCAACACATGCATTATGTGTGCCGTGTACATGTTGCAGTGATTTTAATTGATATTTTAACGATAGGGGCACCCCCCTAATCCTGAGCCAGGCTTAGAGGAGGTTGATAGTTCAGAGGATGTCGGTGAGATGTGGTATAGTAATCTTGCAGGTCTGGCAGCTGCTGCTGAAGAAGGCAACGAAGAAATAATACTAATGTCTTCACTGGCCGCTTGTAGTAGGTTTTATAATTAAATACAAAGAAGTATTTTGTAACTTTATTATTTCCTATTCATAAGTACTTATCTGTTCTCTCTCTCTCTCTCTCTCTCTCTCTCTCTCTCCTTCCCTCCCTCCCTCCCTCTAGTTGAGTGTAAGGTTGTATTCTCTGATAATTCTTATTCCAGTGATTCTGTTATTAAGCTAACAGTCTATCTCAGATCAAGTGCACCCAGTGACTTGCTAATAAATAAAATACAAGTCATTATGGAAAACCCAGTATGAATTACATTTGTATATATACATGTACGTATAGGTTATACACCGAGGTCGAGGTTTCTATGGGATTTATTTACCGAGGGACGCAGTCCCGAGGTAAATAAACCCATAGCAACCGAGACCGAGGTGTATAACAGACTTCTACCATGCCAAATCTGTAGCTAAGAAACTGCCCATGATTAGCAAGGCTTTATAAAAGCACAAGGCCTCTTTACTTCTTTGTATCTTCTTAAAAGAAACAGGGAAAATCTCTTCTCCACTCGCGCCATGTGTGTACA